TCGTGGCACGGCTGCCGAGGAAGACTGCCCAGTGGGTCCAGTGCCACCGCCCGACGACGCTGAACCAGGCCATCCAACTGGCGGAGGACCAAATGGTGGCATGCCCCGGGGTCGGCGAACCCCTGCCATCTGTCTCTCTCTCTCTCCCTCCTCCTGTGTCTTCTCTGCCTTCCAAACCTGTCCCTTTTCCCAGGTCCCAAGGGAATCTGCCCCCACAAGCCCCACCCCGCTGGAGGGGTGGTCCAGGGATGGAACCCACAGCCGCCCCGAGGGTGCCGCCCAGGGGGGTGGGTCCGGCAAGCAGTAGCCCGGCGGCAGTTCCCGTTCCGCCTCTCACTCCACACCAATTCCTTGACCCTCTTCCTGCCACTAGGGCGGCGGGGAGGTCTGGGCCGGCCTGCTGGCGTTGCGGGGACCCAGGTCATTTTATCGATCGGTGTCCAGGGATGGAGGTGGGGACACTGATCCGGGTCCCGGATGCCCCGCAGGCTGCCCCCGATCAAGCTGGCCTGTACCAGATACCCGTGAGTATTAAGGGGGGTACATATCAGGCTTTGGTGGATTCGTGATGCAACCAAACCTCAATGCATCAAAGCCTGATTCAGCCGGAGGCATTGGATAGGAGCCGCATGGTTAAGGTTCGGTGCGTGCACGGGAATGTGGTGGACTACCCCTTAATGACTATTCAATTTCGGGGACAAAAGCATAGAGTAGAGGTGGCAGTTAGCCCGCACCTCAGACATCTGCTAATTTTGGGAACAAATTGGCCCGGTTTTAAGGCGTTATTGGGGCATTTATGTGCGGGTGTCTCTTGGGAGGAAAGAGCGTGGGAGAGGGGGGCGGTTGCACAGGAGGGAGAAGCTGAGCTGGGACCAAGGGGGACTGAGACAGGGGAACGGAGTGCTGTTGAGAGGAGAACCCTCACAACGTGCAATGATTTTCCCCTGGGGCAGTCCCAGGACGAAATGCTCAGAAATGCTTTTGAACAGGTCCGTTCCATCGACGGGCAGCTTCTCCAACCGGCTCGACCGCTCTCCTATCCCTATTTTGCTATTATAAAAGACCGGTTGTATAGAGTGACCCAAGACACTCAGTCAAAACAAGATACAACCCAATTGTTGGTACCAAAAAGCCTCGGGAAATGCTTTTCCAAGAAATGCGTCTTGTCGTGAATGTCAGCTGTTGAACCCACCGGCCACCCCAAAAGCAGCATTGTGCCCTCTCCCTCTTATGTAGGTCCCCTTCGAAAGAATTGGCATGGACCTTATCGGGCCATTAGAATGATCTGCACGGGGGCATCACTTTGCATTAGTCCTAGTGGATTATGCAACACGATACCCAGAGGCAGTGGCACTCCGCAGCATTTCCGCGAAAAGTATAGCGGAGGCCCTGTTTCATCTAATCTCCCGGGTGGGAATCCCGAAAGAGATTCTCACCGACCAAGGCACGGCGTTTATGTCACGGACTCTCCGCGAACTTTACGAACTCTTGGGCATTAAATCGATTCGCACCAGCGTTTATCACCCACAAACAGACGGTCTGGTCGAACGATTTAATCGCACATTAAAAACCATGATTCGGAAGTTCGTTCACAAAGACTGCAAAAATTGTGAACCCCTCTTGTTTGCCGTGCGCGAGGTCCCCCAAGCCTCCACGGGGTTTTTCCCCTTTGAGCTTCTCTACGGACGTCAGCCCCGTGGGGTGTTGGACGTCCTACGAGAAGCTTGGGAGGAAAAGTGAAATTCAGTATGTACTGGACCTGAGAGCAAAACACTTTGGGGCTCTCTATGGAGAATTTGTTGCAGGCTCAGGGCAGACCAAGCCGGTTGTACAACAGGGGAACCAGATTATGCGAATTTGCACCGGGAGAGAAAGTACTCATATTACTCCCAACTTCTAGTTCCAAATTACTCGCCAAGTGGCAAGGACCCTTTGAGGTCACACGGCGAGTTGGCGATCTCAATTATGAGGTAGTGCACTCAGACAGGAGCGGCGCACATCAGATTTACCATCTCAATCTCCTTAAAAAATGGAGCGAGGCGGAGTCAGTGATGTTGGCGATGGCGGTGAGCAGAGAGGAAGATCTCGGGCCAGAAGTGAACACCAAAAGCCAATCTCTTGCTCTGGCCCCAGGAGGAGATCACCTCTCGCCCTCCCAACTCACTGACGTGGCCAAGGTGCAAGCAGAGTTTGCAGATGTGTTCTCGCCCCTGCCTGGTCGCACAGACCTCATCCAGCACCACATTGAGATGGAGCCGGGCGTGGTGGTGCGCAGCCGGCCGTATATGCTGCCTGAACACAAAAAAAAATAGTTCAGACTGAATTAGAGGCCATGCTAGATATGGGAGTAATAGAGGAATGCAACAGTGATTGGATGAGCCCGATAGTTTTAGTGCCTAAAATGGATGGCTCGGTCCGGTTCTGTGTGAATTATCGCAAGGTGAATGCTGTGTCGAAGTTCGACGCGTATCCAATGCCGCGGGTTGACGAATTGCTTGATCAGCTGGGTGCTGCTCGATTTTACTCGACACTGAATTTAATGAAGGGATATTGGCAGATTCCCTTATCACCAATATCCAAAGAAAAGACTGCTTTCACCACGCCATTTGGATTACACCAATTCGTAACGCTTCCTTTCGGGTTGTTTGGGGCGCCGGCCACCTTTCAGCGGCTCGTGGACCGGATCCTCCGGCATATGCAGAATCTGCGGGCGGTCCTGAGATCGCTGAGAGAGGCTGGGCTAACGGCCAACCCGAAAAAGTGTGCAGTTGGGCATGTGGAGGTACGGTATCTGGGCTTCCACTTGGGTCACGGGCAGGTGCGTCCCCAAATTGATAAGGCGGCAGCAGTTGCGACCTGTCCGAGACCCAAGACCAAAAAGGAGGTGAGGCAGTTCCTGGGGCTGGCGGGATATTATAGGAGGTTTGTACCTAAGTATTCGGACCTCACCAGCCCGCTGACTGACCTCACTAAAAAGGAAGCACCAGATCCGGTCCAGTGGACGGAGCAGTGCCAGCAGGCTTTCACCCAGATAAAGGCTGCTCTGTGTGGCGGGCCGCTCCTGCACTCCCCTGACTTCTCTCTCCCTTTTTTGTTGCAGACTGACGCGTCGGACAGGGGGCTGGGCGCGGTCCTGTCCCAGGAGATAGAGGGGGATGAATGGCCGGTGCTGTACATCAGTCGGAAGCTCTCAAAGAGGGAGACGATGCACAGCACCATTGAGAAGGAATGTCTGGCGATCAGATGGGCCGTCCTCACCCTCCGCTATTATCTCCTGGGAGGGGAGTACACCCTCTGTTCGGACCACGCGCCCTTGCAGTGGCTCCACCGCATTAAGGATACCAAAGCGCGGATCACCCGTTGGTATCTAGCATTACAGCTCCCCGGCCTGAGTAGGGCGGTGGGGGTATGTTGCGAGGGGGGCGTGGTTCAGTGAGGTCTGCACCGGGAGAGAGAGACAGGAGACGAGCGGTGCGCAAGTAGGTCAAGCGCAAATGATAATCACCTTTGTCTCGTTTTAGTAATTGGTGTGGAGAGACCAGATAAAAGGGGCCACCTGGAGCATGGAAGGGAGAGAGAGACTGACTGGGAATGCGAGCCACCCGGGAAACCGGGCTACTAGAGCAAAGCATATATAGAGCTATATTCTGAGTTATTGACGGAGAGTTTGAATGCGCAGTGAGCGCCTTGTTCTGTTGGATTTACTGAGAGACTTGAATAAACACTTGCATCCCAGTCTGCCGACCCTGTCTTCTTCCTTCCTCCCTCTTGAACTATATTACAGTCACCTACTTGGTTGATTCCCTCCATTCGAGATATATTTCGTGACATTGACCTATACATTGATCACTTGCGATCCAAGTATGCGAGATGTTCTGCCGAATCATTTCCTTGAACAGTTTAGAGACCAGCTCTTCCTTTAAGATAAGTAACACAACTTTAACTTTGGATAAACTGATTATTTCTGCCACCTCTTGGATCCTTTTGTCGATTTCATTGTGAGCTAGGTAATGAGGCAATGCTTCTTTAAAAGCATGACAGATATCTGCACCTTCTGATTCAGCTAAGAAGCTTTGTAAGGCATTTTCCCCATAATCATCATCCCCGTAGGCTACCCCAACCCAGTTCCAGTGAAAGTGTTTCATGAAATTAGCCAGAGCTTTGGTTTGGTGAACATCACTAGGAATGGTGCGCAGGAATGCTGGGTATCGTACCCTATCACTAAGCGTTTGTGCAGATGATGTTGTGCTTATCTGTTTTAAGAGAAAAGGACAATGAATATTAATTGTTTTTTGCCACTATTGCTACAAAATTGAGATTCATCAAGAATTGTTTTTGATTCCCTGAATCAAACTTTAATCAAATTACCTAAAGATTAACTCTAAATGATCATAATAATGTTACTCACCTGTGGGACCATGTATAGACTCAGAAGCCGAGCCACTGCCAGAGAGTCTTCTGAGAAACGTGCTCCAATGATTGCTTTTACATTAGGCCTTTCAAGCACCTCACATTGGACAGGCAGTGTGCCATTCACAGCGAGAAGCTGCTCGGTGCTCTGAATGGCCTTTGATGCATCAGAGCAAGTGTCACAGATGTAGTAGCCCAGTCGCACACCCGGGAGGAAGCTGGAGTTATTGATCGTTTCAATAGTATGCACAACAGCTAGAGTCCTTACAAGCGAAAGAGATTTAATCTATACGGAAATGAGGGAAATCTTTATTAGCAATAAAAACAATAGCATATTTGTTGTTTCTAAAGTAACTGAAGCAAAGTGCTTAAGTTTAAAGTTTCTAAAGTAACTGAAACTTGTTGTTGGTCTCTTATAATTCTGTTAAGATTCTAAAGTAATTTAATCAACCCGACGCAGTGTGGTGGCAGAGTTGTATTAGATCTGTTGTGTCTGAAGTTTTAAGTTTCTAACGTAGTTGAAACTGACTATGAAGATGTTATAATTCTGATTGAATTCTAAAGTAACTGAATTGATCCGACGTAGTGTGGTCACAGAATTATTTCATAATAGTTGTGTTATAGTATAGTGAGTCCAACGTACCACGACTCTTAAGTTTAAAGCAGTAACCCGAAGCAGTGTGGTTTTTGCCCGACGTATTGTGGCACTGTTTTGATCTGATAAATATTAGTTTGAGCCCGAGGAACTGTGGCTAGAAAAAGGCTGTTTGAGAAAATATAAAAAAAAAGAAGACCCGACGTACTGTGGTTTTGTCCGATGTACTGTGACAAACATTGTTATATATTGTTTTAACAGTTGCAGAAGTTGAATTGGTTATAATTCTGTTAAGATTTTAAAGTAATTGAATCAGCCCGACGTAGTGTGGTAGCAGAGTTATATTAGACCTATTGTTTCTAAAGTAACTGAAACAGAGTTTTGATAATGCTGATGAAATTCTAAAGTAACTTAATTGACCCGATGCAGTGTGGTTACAGAATTATTTCATAACTATGGAGATTTTGTGTTGATTAGCCCGACTACTGTGGCTAAGTAAACTGTTTTAAAAATATAACATAAAACCCGAAGTAGTGTGGTTTTGTCCGATGTAGGCTACTGTGACAGTGTTACATTTTTAACAGTTTAGTGTAGAAAAGTTTAGAGACCCAACGTAGTGTGGCTATCTTGTTCATAGACTAACAGGTATCTTAAAGAAACTAGATAATGTTCAGTCAGTGAAGGAAAAGAAGCCTATTGAGTTGCTGAACACAATTCAGTAAGATTGTGAAAATGGCAGAGTTGATAGTTAAATACATCGCTAAGCACGGCTCAGTGGGAATGTTTGATGGGATAGAGAAGGCAGATGACCGCTACGAGTGGGCTATGTCTCGATTCAAAAATGTTTCCAAAATGCCTAAAAACAAAGAGGGAAAAGTTGCTAATGCACTTCAAGCTCTTTTTGCCTCATACAAGGTAACTAAGAAAAGATTAGAAGAAATTCAAACTGAAAACAAGTTGCGAAATTGTCAAGCTAAATTCTATGTCATGTCATGTCATTGAGAAATTGCGAGGTTGAAGAGATTATTTTGAAGGAACAGATAGTGAAATTGAGAAAATAAATTTCATAGTCTGAAACAGAGATGGAAACATTTAGATGTTTGTATGAAGGGACAGCTAGACAGTTGGTAAATGTTCAATCCAATTCTGAATATGTGGAGAAGAACTGCAAGGAAGCCATTAGTCGACATAATTCCTCAGATGATTCTGTGAGATTCCCAATAGCACCAGTGCGAACAAGACAGACTGGAAATGAGAGGGTTCTTGATCAAAGAAATGAAAATGGCCAAGCTATTAGACAACTGTCTTTTATGGACTTTCAAAGTTTTATTACAGCAGTGGGTTCTTTTGAGCCTGATAACATGGATCCAGTAGAGTTTTTGTCAAAACTGGAGAAGGTAGTGGAGGTTTATAGTGTGTCAGACGAAGATGCTTGTAGACTTCTTATGATTTGCATACCACGCTCATTAACCAGTGCTCTCTCTCACAGGAAGTTCGTGACAAAAGAGCAGACAAAGGTGCAAGGAGAGAAGCTGCACTTAAAACTTGCTGGGACTAATTTGGTTAACTTGAAAAAGATAACTGAGGTGACAATGGAAATTGGAGAATACCCTCTAGCATTTGCATCCAGGTTGTGGGAAATGTTTAGCTGTTACAGTGGTTTTCCCAATGCAACTAAACAAAATCTAATGTTTATGTCTGCATTAATTGTACAAAGTAGTTCACACATGCGAGAAGCCATTGCTCTACATGTGCAATGAGGACGCTGAGGCTGAGTCTGAATCCATTTGCGGGAGTTTATTGAGTGGACAGTTTCAGTGAACAGGAACGTCAAGGCAGGCAGAAGGTCGAAACCAGAATGACAATCCAATGTAACAACACTTACAGGCAGGCAAAAGGTCCAAACACACACATCCGTCCGATCGGGCAAACTAAGCAAGGGGAATAATCCAGATAAACGTTAGGTCGGTAAACAGGCAGAATCATACACTGAACAGGCAATCAGAATCACAATAGAGACCGCTTGGTAAGGCAGGTTTAACTGGCAATACTTCGCGATGAGCATGAGCACAGTCTCTGGCTATAAAGGAACCAAACAGGAAATTAGTGTAGAGGAAGCAGAGGGAGTGGAACACAGTCAGTACTCGGGTGAGGGCTCCCTCTGCTGGCTTGGCATTACAACATGTAGATGTAAATACACCATGCGGGCAAATCATTTCCAAAATGACACAGCATTTCAATGCAAGAAGTCAAATGAAAGCTGCAGAATCTAGACATCCAGTTGCTGCATTCGGCAGGCGAGAATGTTCTAGACAATCTAACGGTTTGCATCAGAGACCAAAGAGATTAGAAAGAGTAAATTCAGAAGGTGTTACTATCTGTTATGCATGTGGAAACGCTGGTCACATTGCTAGACATTAAGGATGAGCTATCGTGATTTGCTTAAGAAGATAGGCAGTTTAGAAACCCAGTTGGCACTGTTGAAAGGAAATAAGGAAGAAGCTATTCACACCTTGCCAGACACAGCACTGCATGAACAACATGACTGTAGCTTAGTCACAAGCAGATGCTGATGTGAACTGTAGGAATCATTTTATGATAGTATTATATTTTAGAAAATATGTTTACTATCAATAGGGGGGTGATTAATGGCATTAATATTAAAATTTAATTAATGAGAAATTATTTAATTGCATTCTGTGATTAGAAAGATGATCCGGTCATCTGAAGGACAAAAAGGCCAGCAAAACCAGTGGAGCCAGGGGACTTCCAGAAGAAAAAGGACTTCAAGAAGGCCAGCAGGGCAAGTGGAGCCAGGGCACTTCTTAAAGAACAGAGTGATCATCAGAATCAGAAATTGAGAGATTCCCAGACCTACAAGTTCCAGACCTCCAAGCTTAAAAGATCTAGAAACCCTGAGACCTACAATGGCATGGATGGACCTGATGGAACTTCACAAACTGCGAAAACAGCTAGAAGGACTTTTCCAAATTGAAATGAATGGACAATGGAAAAGAGAAACAAAGAGATCAAACTATTTTCAGAGACTGTGGACAGCAGTCTTCTCACTGAGATGGAAAACAAGAAATGAGAAATGCAAAGACAGACTCTCTGCACATGACACCAGAAAGAGACAAACATATGCATACTCGAATGTAGAATATTGTCTACTGAATGCACACATGTAGACAAAGGACGTCCACACCACACTGAGAGAATGGACACAATGCAAGTGACAAAATGAAAACACAAAAAAAAACACGCAGACACAAACACAACACACACACACACACACACACACACACACACACTATGTTGCCTGTTGACTGATGTTTTTGCTCTTTTGGCCTTTGGCTAGGTTTGTACTGTCATAATGTTTAGTACATTTAGAAAATCTCTTTTGCTGTTATGGTTCTCAAGTGCTCCTCTCCCAAACCCCCAAAAAATGTTTGTGTGTCATTTTGCCAAATTTGAGAGAAGTCCCTATGATGATTTTGCCAAATTGGATGGAGCGACAACCAGTGTGCATGAGGTGTAGACTCAATGATGGGTAAGATTCTCCTTTGGCCAGAGGGGGGCAACCTAAGGCAGGGCTTCAGGGGCAACTTAAGGCAGGGCTTCACCGCCACTGGGGACCTGCCCTGTAAGGGAGGTGTAATCTGTGTAACGGGAGTGAGTGTGATGCTTCTTTTGGGCCAAGAGCATCAGAGGGGGGACTGTAAGAATCCATAGTCTGCCCCGACCCAGATTCCACTCCACAATATGTTTGATCATGCTCATTTCCCAAAATGGCTTAATTATTATAGAGAAGAAGAAAGTCAACAGTTATGTTGTTTGTAGATCACTTGGGATGATCACATCCTGAGCAAATGGTGACCAATTGTAGAATGGGAGCAGGTGTGGGACACTGAGAACCACCTCAGACAAAAGGGGTGTCAGAACTTAATTAACATACAGACCACAGCTGTAACAACAGGAGCAACTTCCTTTACATTGCGGGTAAACTCTAATGGTGCGTTCACACCAAACGCGAATCAGACGCTACACTGTAATAAAAGTTATTCTTCATCAAGATCTTCGACGTCTTCACTTTTTCTTACAACATGCATATTTCTGTTTATTGAGAATGTGGGTGCATGTATGTGCATGGGTGACCGTGATTTTACCAAGTACAACATGTTCCTGGATCAATATCCTTGTTGATCCTGGAACAACATTCCAATTAACCAATCAGAATTGAGGGATAACTTTTCAGTGAAATATCTGTTTTAGGCTTACAATCAGGATTAGGTGCTTCTACCCCCTTGTTAATCAGCTATTATTTCACACTGATTTTAGGAATAAATTATGGGTAGGGTTAGGTTTAGGGGTAGGGATTGGGTTTAGTCTATATTTTTGGACAGTAATGTTGATCCAGGATCAACAAAAGATGTTGATCCAGGAACATGTCTTACCTGGCAAAATCACGGCAACCTATGTTTCAGGGTTAGTTTACTTACAGTTTACTGACCATATAATATTATATATTATGACAATATAGTTATCAAATATACAGTATATATATATATATATATATATATATATAT